CCCTGTGGTGTTTATCAGAGCTGGTCCAGCCCAAGCGGGGAGAGGGGCTTACTTGGCAAGTACTGCGGCTTATTCAGGGATCTCACACCATTAGAAAGAAGAGCTGGCGTCTTTGAATGAATTCTGCTGGTCCAAGACATGCACTAGGTTCTTCGAGAGGTTGAACTGGCTCGAGTAGGAAGGGCAGATTTTCAGCATCTAAGACCAGGGCCTTCCCTGGGGCACATCTTGGTCTTCCTTGAACTCTAATCTGAGTCCTTTGAACTTCTCGAGGCCGAATTTCAAAACAGAGACTGCAGAGATGTCGTAACGGTGGAGAGTCTTCCCCCTAAAAGCATTTCCCTATTAGTGCATTCTGCTTGTGGACAGCACAGGGCCAGGGGACACAGGCAAGGGGCAGCCTCCCCAGGGCAGCTGTTGCCCTTCTGTGGCCGAGAGGAGGGGAAGGCTGGGCTTATGAGGATGTGTTCATGGTGGAGAAAGTAGTGCCATCCCACTGGTCTCAGCTCCTTTTGGGGCGTCCCTAGTGAGACCCGGGATAGAAGGCTGCCTTCTGTGGACCTGAGCTTTCTCAGTTAGAGCTGGCTGGTCCATTGAAGACGGTGCACATCCCAGTGTGTGTGCGTATGTCCCTGTGTGTGTGTGTTCCTGTGTATGTGTCCCTGTGTGTGAGTGTGTGTCCTTGTATGTGTTCTTGTCCCTGTGTGTGTCCGTGTGTGTGTGTGTGTGTGTGTGTGTGTGCATATTCGCGCATGTCACCTAGTGTCTTTTCTTTGTAACAGAGAATGATGAAAGGGTGTGTTTATCCATTTGCCCCTTTTTAGGTTGTATTGCCTTTTCAGGGCACATAGGTGATATTCAAGTCTAAATGTGTTCATGATGGTGACTAGAAATATTGTGTTAAAGGGCCCTTTGGGAGATTTACTCAGAATGTGGAGGGACAGTGGTAAACCATAAGTCACTGTGGTCACAAATAATCTCCATAGGTTACTCTTGACTACCAAGAAGCTGATGGCATTGCACGGTGGCCTGACTCACTTATACAACTGCAGTGAGAAATGCTAGCAGCCGTCCACCGCCCTCCTTGTAGTGTGGACAGAGAACCTAAGCCCTATGGTGTGGAGCAACTACAGAGCTCAGCAGTTAACTTCTGTGAGAGATTCGTTAAGCTCCTCTTAGGAAATATCAGTAGCCTCTGTTGTTCTAGGTGCATAGTTTATTGCTTTTATTTACTCTTCCATTCGAAGCACGGAAACCAAACCAAGAAACGCATCCCTACTGCGCTGCCTGCATGTCATACACGGGGGTGAATGCCCTCTCCTCGCGGGCACTGGCTCTGCTGAGGTTGCCGACCCGCCACGCTGGGTAACAGGCCGGTTTCCTGGGAGGCTGGTGGTCCTCCCAGTGCAGTGCAGCCCTGTTCTTAATGGTGGGCTCTCACCCCTGACTGAGTGCAGTTCCCTCTGCAGTGTGACACTCCAGCCACGGCCTCGCCTGCGCTTCACTTGGCCAGTCATATGCTAGTAGAAATGGGAACTCATTTTCATCAAGCCTATGTGAGTAATCACACGGCCATTAAAAGTAAAGAGACTCGGAAAACAGTGCTGTTCCTGAATTCTGAGAGCTCGGGGTGGGGGGGGGGGCAAGAATACCATTCAAAAGTGTTTCATTTCCAAATGTTTGTGGAGCATAGACCACAATGTTAATAGTGAGAGCTAGACCAGGAAGAAAGAGAAGGGACTTCATCACACACTTGTCAGAATGAGAACAATAAAAAATTATAATGACACTGTTCTAGAACAAATTATCAAAAGTATATTTCTCTCATCAGTCCTTCAGTCCCATGTAACTATTGTGTGTTCCACTGGCCTTTGGGTCAACAGTTTGCTTTTCTGACGTTGTCTGCCCCAGGAAAGAGCCCTGGAACTCCACACCAGTCTCTGACGTCATCTGGCGTGTGTCTAAGAAGTAGCGCCCATCACAGTGAGGCTGCTGCACGAAGGGTCTCGTGGCCACACTTGGTACAGTTCTTTCCGTGAGGCTCTGAGGCCGTCCTTCTTGGGCTGTGATCACAGCAGAGTTTTATCTAAGCAGGGCGGGCAGGGAAGCAACTACCTGTGAATGATAAGACTGAATGGCTGTAGTTAATTTATTATATGTCCAACAATATGCTAATGGAGGAAACTAGAATCCCCTATCAGGGTGTAATGCTTAACTTTTTCAGACGGATTTGATGGGTGTTTCCCTGGAGGATAAGGACATATTATGGGCAGTGAGGACATTGACAAACCCCTAGGGTCATTATGTGGGATGATTAAATTAATAGCATTTTACCTGGACAAAATCAACCAGGGGAAGGCCAACCTTTTCATTTGATCTGATAGTTCTCTCCATGCAGCTCTCGCAGGACTGAGGGGCAGTGAGTGCTAAGCACTGGGGAATGGGTGAGGGAGAGGTCAGAGGTGACATGAGAGGCAGCTTCCTTCTGGCAACTTAGCTGTGGGGGTGGAGGGAGGAGGAGGAGCGACCACGCGGTCCACCTCCCCTTTCCTGTCCTGCTCCTCCCAGAGCTTTGGGCAGCAGGTGTGGCCGTCTTGACCTTGGTGGCACGTGTGGCTCTGGACCGTCTCAGAAGCAGTCTTGTTTCTGCGCCTCTTGCAGAAATGATATTTCATGGTTTCACAATGCGGGTGTGTCAGAATGTGGCATCTTTATTATTATTGTTAATATTTTATTTTCAATCTTCTGATGAAAGCATTAATGTAGTCACTTCCAGGTCAATTCCGTCAAATCAGGGTCCTGTCTACATTCTAGAAAGGCAGGGGTGGGTGGGGGCCTATGAGCTGCGATGCTGGGGGAAGCGGCTGCTGGTGCTGTCCGTCTCTCTTTGGCACCCACCCTTGTGGAGTGCTCGCATCTCCAGTCCGTTGGCCTTCAGCGCTCATCACTGCAAACAACGGGAGATGTTTGAGATCCCATGTCTAGGAAGGCCATCCTGTACCCTCTTTCTTCTGTGTCCTACTCTTGTGGGTGCCCTAGTCCTCACACAGCCCCTCTCTGGCCCCCTTCATGGTCACAGAGAACTTGAGGATGCCCTGTGACCTAGTGTCAGGAAAGACTGTGGTAAGGCTTCCATCCCAGGGCTCTCTCCTTGGGTCTGCTGGGAGCCATGTCTATTCTCTGCAGAGGGTAGTTTGGCAAGGCTTGCCCCCAGTTATATTTCATATCGACAGCAAACCACAGGTCCTCTCTGCTGCTGGGGCTCTGCACCATCTGGGGTTTCACAGGTGCCTCTTCCCTGCCCAGGCCCCGAAGATGGGCTGGAGACAGGGAGAACTGTGGTAAGCAGAACCTTTCCCAGGAACTCACCTGCCTCTATCTGTTCTTCTTCTTCCCAAAATGTCACTCTGTAGCTCCAACCTTGATCAGTACTGGCTGTGAGTGTGAAGGTGTGTGCGGGCAGGTCTGACTCATTCCTTCTGAATCCTGTGGACATCTCTGCCTCTTCCTGCCTTGGCTTTAAGTTTCAAGACTGTTTTGGGAAAGTCAAAAACCAAGTGGCTGATTTTATTTTCTTCTCTTTGTTCTTTCTGGCATCTTTCCTTTGATGTGGTCCCTGAGGACATGGTGGAGGGGGTGGGCATCTTTTAATATCTCTGAATATTTCCTCTCACATCTCTAAATTATCTCATGACCTTGGACAATTGCTTAATTGTTTTATCTCTCTTATCGCTGTGATACCAGTTCAGCCTCAAGAGTATAGAATAATGAATTGTCCTAAAAAAGAAAAAGAAAATGTCTGAGTTACTCATTTCCTGGTTGAGAATCTAAGGGGAAAACAGAGGTCTCTTACGATTAGAGTTTTTAAGACTCCTCTGTGCTTCCAGAACTGAGCTGTCCCGCCCAACCTGCCTCCCTCCTGCTCCCTCATCAGAGAAAGACCCTTCCACTGGGCTCCGTCCACTGGAGGGAGGGTTCCGAGCTCCCTCAGGGCTGAGGTGAAAACTTCCCAGAAGGAGAGCAGACGAGGGAAGATGTCACTCTCACTCACCTTCTTCCACACAATGTGGAGGGCCCACGTGCCCCTCCAAGGGGCCTCAGGTTTCCCCTGAGGACCAGAGAAGGCCACGTGGGTGGGGCCTCCAACCGCCCCACAGGCCCCGTTTTTATGATTTCCTATGTTAGATTGCATCTGTAGGAAATGAGTTTGACCACCGGTGATGCCGGTTCAGTCCCCATTACAGCAGAGGAAACTGGAGACCCACCGACAGAAGGAATCTTGCCTGAGGTGGAGCTGGGGTAGAGCCCGCCCCTGGACCTCAGCCTCGTGTCCTTGTTCCCACTGACCTGTGCTGTGCACACCCTGGGTCACGGTCCGCGGCCGTCAGCCTGAGATGGTGGAAGGGCTGTAGCTGAGTTTGGTGGGAGTTAGATTTAATTTCTCCAGGGTCCGATGTTACTTGCCTGGATCTTGAAGTGTCAGTCATCAGGCATGGAATGTCACTGTGTTCCCCACACCAGTGATGCTTGAGTGACATCCGAGGAGGAAATGGAGAGAACAGCACAATCTCTAAGGACAGCTCCTTCTTTGCTTCTGTGGCACAGATTAGCTTTTGGGGAGCCAGTCACCCCCTCAAGTTCTGGAGAAGGCTGGGGAACTGTACCCCTTTCCTGGCCTGACATGTGCTGGGAGGTAAGGCTGGGAGGAGGGAGGGTGTCTCTTTCCAGCAGGGCTGACCAAACAGGAAGGAGCGACCCACCAGCGGAGCTGGTTGGAACAGTAGAAAAATAGCCGATAGTGACTCTTCTCTCAAGTGGTGATTTCAGCCTAAGGGCTAGATCCTGGGGGGAAGTCCCTGGTGACAGCCGGTTGTCTAATTCCATTACTTATCACAAGCGAAGTGTTTAAATAGGAACAGGAGGTGGTGCCAATGAGACAGAGAAGGAGCC